CGACGCGGCGGAGGAGGAGGAGAAGGTGGTGGTGGTGGTGGCGGTGGCGGTGGCGGTGGCGGTGGGGTAGGAGAAGGAGGGAGGACTATTTTAGGCTGCTTAACCAACTAGTCGAGACCACGTGTGCGTGGCTGGGACGAGGGTGGCGAAGGGGGCGGGGAAGGGATCATTCATTAATATTTTTATAAATGTCAGCGTCTTTTTTATTCGGATGAAAGGAGCGAGTCGGCGTGGCGGGTGGAGCTCGCGGAAGTCGCGGTAATTGGGAAAAGGGCGTGATCGATAAATCATGCATGTGAATTAGGTGGGAAATTATTCGAAATTGTTTGGGCGCGCCGGGGAGAATGTTACAAATTTGTTCGATTGGCATTGCACGAAAGTTGCGCCCGATAACTTTTCTAACAATGCTTTTATCGCCAAAGTTATTTCAAAGTAATTTATTGTGGATGCGAAGCTCTCTTGTGTGTCCAAGCGTGAATAATTGCGCATCTTTGGCGCCGGCCTTAGTAGAGCTATTTTCTTTACTTTTTTTTTTCTTCTCTCTCTCTCTCTCTCTCTCTCTCTCTCTCGCTCATTCTCTCCCATTCTCTCCCATTCTCTCCCATTCTCTCTTTTTGAAATACCAGTATGTAACGTGACATTCAATCATATTGGCGCCTTAAATTATCCACTACATGTATTTTATAGAAAATTAAATAGAATTTTCTTTAACCTTCCATTTTATTTTTGTTTGCCGCTCTATTAGATGTAAATACACATTGATAATGTATTAGTAATTAAATCATGTAAAAATACCTTATACTCTAATTGTATGTGCATCGGTCTCGCTATAAATGTCGCACGATTATTAATATTTCAATATAGTTTTATCTTTATCGTGGTCCCTCGTGATATTCTCGTTGCTTGAATAATAATTTTGCGAATCGCATAATAATATCGACGCGGCGCTTGGCTTACATCGCGCTTTTATGATATTATAAAAGGTTTCTTTGTTGATTTAATTAACATTGTTATTATAAAAAAAAGTCAGCGATTCAGTCGCACTAATCTTCACGTAGGGTTTTATACTTTTAGAATAAATGATAATTCCGTTATTGTAATTAATGAAAATAGAAAATACTGTTTCTCATGCATTAATAACTTTGAATGTAGATTTTTCCCTAGTTGGGCGTACAGTTTTTATTTTTTTCTTAGCATATTCTGCCCATGTAATCAACTTTCCTCGCATTATTCAATTAAAAATAACCGCTTGAGGTCATTTTTACATTGTTTGATGTACGTATAAAATGAAAAAAAAAACAAACAAACAAACAAAAATCCGTTCAACTAGGCTTCCAAGGTAAACAACAAGTGCCGGAACACGTTCGAAATTCAACCGATAAGGATATATCTATAGGCCGTGAATATGCAGACAGAGATATACGCCGTCGTTTAAAACGTGAAAAATTTGAACACTTTCAAGCTGTTGTTTTGCCCGAGTGTATGTTAAAAGTATAGGGGGAGAGCGATGAGGGGCGGCGTGATGGAGCGGGGGACTTGCTGGAAGGGCGGGGAGGGGTAGGAGAGGGATAGAGTGTAACTTTTGAAAGAAGTACAGGCTTACTTCATCTTTTTTTTTCTCCTTTGTCCCATACGTAAAAACTTTTTACGCGAAAAATGCTAATTATGAAGTATTTTCATCTCTGGTATTCTAGTGTTAACGAAAATGGAGAATTTTTTGTCCAAAAAGGGATATCACGTATGTTACTTTTTTTTGTTAAGTTATACCATACTTGATGATGCCTTTCTACTTTTAATTAGATGAGAGCTGAAATCGCTTTGACATAAAAAGCTTAGGCCGGTAAACAGATAATTAATCCGCATTATATAGATGGCAATGTCATTTATTTTTGTCACCGAGCAAACCTCCAGCAATTTATTCCACAAAATTCGCGTAAATGCACGCGCGCGTTGCGGCCGCAATCTCAATACAGCGACATCAGGATTTACATTAAAATTCATTAGCACGTGACGATGAGCATCCTAGCTCGCCCATTATACTGCTAATATACAATGTTTTGTAATCCTTACGGCCTTGACGCATTCACTCCTCGGATGGGGATGGCAACGCAATAACGATTTTACAACATCCCGTAGACGCTTGAGACCAATGTTTTCACAAAGCATCCCCCAAGACCGCGATACAATGGCGAAAGAAAGTGTGGCCGGATTAGATGTTGTCGGAGCTAATTTACCGTGACGTCCGCAAATCAAAGCCGCTCCCGTCGTATCGTTTTCTCGACGCGTCCGCCAAAAGCGTTGCGCTCCAGGGCTTTCGCCGGTGAATTTCCGTAAGCCGAGCCGGGCGGAAGGATAATATCGCGCGGTTGGCTCGATGCGTCTGCGCGCGTGTCTGTCGCGGGCAAAGAAGCCGGAGACGCGGACGATTGTGTCGACGGGCGCGATTTAAAAGGACAGATCAAGCGGATACACGGGTCGCTTCTCCACTCCTCGCCCTCTCCCCCGTCCCGCTCGACCGCTCCACGCTCTTATCCTTTGTCTTCGCGCGCGCGCGCGCGCGCTCTCTCTCTCACTCTCTCTCACTCACTCTCTCTCTCTCTCTCTCTCTCT